GCAATCCCAATCTTTATTGACTTGGTTGATGACCACTGCCGAATCGCCGTATACGAGTATCCGCTTGATTCCGAGGGTAATTGCCACTCGAAGCCCGTGGATGAGGGCTTCGTATTCTACTTCATTGTTTGTAGCTTGCCATAATATTTGAAGGACATACTTGAGTTATTTTCCATCTAGAGAAATGAGGAGAACGCCTGCACCGGCTCCGCCTAGTTTGAGTGATCCATCAAAGTACATCTTCCAGTGGTCAAAGATGGTATTTGACATAGGTTGTTGAATCTCTATCCACTCGGCAACAAAATCGGCAAGGGCTTAAGATTTGATTGCCTTCCGTGGGGTGAAATCGATACTGAGAGCACCAAGTTCAACTGCCCACTTAGATATACGCCCCATTGCATCTTTGTTGTGTAAGATGTCTCCTAGTGGGAAATCTGTCACCATGATAATCTTGTTGCTTTCAAAGTAGTGGCAAAGCTTGTGTGAAGTGATCAGTAGGGCGTAGAGTAGTTTTTGTACATGCGGGTACCGGATCTTTGATTCTGACAGTACTTCGCTGATGTAGTATACGGGGCATTGTAATTTATACATGCACCCTTCTTCTTCTCTTTCTACGACTATCGTCGTGCTGATCATGGTAGAAGTTGCTGCAATGTATAGCATCATGTCTTCGTCTTTCTTTGGAGGTGTGAGAACTGGCGAGGAGGTGAGGTATGCCTTGAGTTTCTTGAAAGCTTCATTGGCCTCTTCCGTCCACTCGAACTTGTCTGTCTTCTTTAATAGTTTAAAGAAAGGTAACCCTTTTTCACCGAGTCTTGATATGAAATGATTGAGGGCCGCCATGCAGCCTATTAGTTTCTGCACATCTTTGACACTTCAAGGAGGGCCCATCTCTGTTATGGCTCGAATTTGCTTGGCGCTTTCTTCGATTCCGCGATGAATGGCCAAGAATCCGAGTAATTGTCCTGAAGGAACTCCGAATACACACTTGTTTGGGTTCAATTTCCACCTCCACCTTTTCAGGTTTTTGAAGGTTTGCTTTAAGTCTTCAATCAGTGTATCTGGGTTCTTTATTTTTACTACCACGTCATCCACGTATGCTTCTACATTTTCACCGATCTGATCACCAAGGCACGTTTGGATAGCTCTTTGGTAAGTGACACCCGCATTCTTGAGTCCAAACGACATGGTCTTGTAGCAGTAGGCACCAAACAGAGTGATGAAAGATGTCTTGCTATGGTCTTGTTCTTTTAATGCGATCTGGTGATATCCTGAATAGCAATCAAGGAAGGATAATATGGCAGATCCTGCTGTTGAATCAATTATCTGATCGATGCGTGGTAGCCCGAATGGATCTTTCGGGCAGTGTTTATTGAGATCTATGTAGTCGACACACATGCGCCATTCGTCCGTGTTCTTTTTCTATACTAGAACTGGGTTTGCTAGTTAATCTAGATAAAGGATTTCTCTGATGAATCTGGCTGACATTAGCTTTTGTGATTTCCTTTTTAATTGCTTCATGGGCTTGGAGCCTTCATTGATATCAATTATGTGCTCAGCCAACTCTCTTGGGACACCTGGCATGTCAGCTATCGATGTTTGACCACCGATAGCCTGCCATGGGGGTCCCCGAGGCAGTATGTTCGGGCTTTAGCATATGCGGAACTCGATGGTGAACGCAAGAGACAGTCGATTTATCCTAGTTCGGACCCTCGATCGCTGATCGAGTAATAGCCCTACGTCCTAGTCGGCATTAGCCCTTGCGTTGGATTGATTGTCTGGAGTTGTTACAGTTGTCCAAGTCCCCTCGCTAGGAACCCCACCCTCCTTTATATAGTTAGGAGGTCAGAGTCCTAGTCGGTTTACAATGGGAGTTCCTAGTAGGATTACAAAGTAATACTACTACTAAGATTACATGGAAAGAATCCTAGTTAGACTAGATCTTCTCTCTCTCTTGCGGGATATCCCGTAGGTCCCGCACCGACAGACCCTCAAGCTATAGCCCAAACAAATTTCAATTACCCTAAACGGTGGACACTGGATGTCAAAGAGCTAGCTGCTGCAAAGACTCTTTGGGAGAAAGAGCACATCCATACGGCGAAACTAAGGGACATACATTGCCCTAGCTTTCAAAAATCTCCAACAACACTCTACTATATGGCTACCATACAACTTCGAGTAAGCTCAACTCTATACTTAAAGCTTTGTTCGATATATTTTATTCGATGCAAAAGAGCTTATCTAGTTCTATGATTAAATCCATGCAGCAACCACTAGATTTGTATAGCCGTCAATGTCGGGAGGAGCATGGCATGGGTCTTTGATTCATTAGATAAGGACACGGTGACATACAAAGACTTCATATCGATTCTCAAGACGTATACATATCGACAATCCTCATTAACTTATATGTTTGTATACATACTTGTAACGTTCACTTTTGGAGACTAACAAGTTGTATTTGCTAAAATAATTCGAACAGAGCATTTAGGTTCTATGTCACTAATCATCATGGAAGGCATGATCCAGCAAGAAAGAAAAAGCTGGCTATAAAAACACTATGTGCGGTAAGTGTAACTTACTTCTTCAGTACTCCGTTACATGGTTGTCAAAAGCATTACTTAACATTTTCATATGCAAAACACACAATGCCCCAAACAGAAGCCTGTGAGTGTACATTGTGGATACTATATATGTTCTATAATGAGTAACACCGATGCCTACAGGAGACACCCCTTAAGGGTAAGTTTGAACCTCTTCACCCATAGTATAAAAACTTCGTAAATGATATGAAATACTAAACCGAAACTTGTCTCTTGTAGTGGAGAGAAGAGAAAGGAATGAAAAGAGACCCATACAAGGATGACCAACTCTTAGAGCTCGTCGGCGACCTTTGCAACTTCATATTAGACCAGATTATACACGTCAGAGGCGCCTACCGTGACCGAGAGTCTGAGTTAGGTACAAATCCTCAGTACCAACACCTTCGTGAGACTAAAAGGCTAGCTCTAAGACGTTGATAATAATGTATATGGAATTTGTATATTTAACGATGGATTGTATGTATTCTTGTGAATTGGACTTGTTATTGTAGTGTATAGAATACTCTTGTGCCTGTAATCGCGGTCGTGGGGCGCTCAGCAACGCGAACGCGGTTCAGAACGTTGGTCACGGGGCGTTCGGCAACGCGAACGTGGTTCGGAATGTTGTCGTAGGACGTTCGGCAACGCGATTTTGATTTGTAAATTTGATTTTTTTTAGCGGAAAAACGTACTGTAGGAGCGGTTTTAGATTGAACCGCCCCTACAAATACCTGTTTGTAAGGGCGGCTGGTACTACAGCCGCCCCTACAAATCGATTTGTAGGGACGGCTTGGGAACCGCCCCCTATAAATACATGATTTGTAGAGACCCTTGCGTAGGGGCGGCTGGACAAACCGCCCCTACAAAGGGTTACCAGCCGCCCCTAGAAATGCTTTTTTGTAGTAGTGTAAACCGTCATTGAAACTATACCTATTTTTAGGGACGGTCGGCTTAAAAGAACCGTCCCTGAAAATAAGATTTTCAAGGACGGATTCTTATGTCAATTGTCTCTGAAAATAGGTAATTTCTAGGGGCGGTTTTGTTAAGTCCGAAGTCCCTAAAAATCGATTTTCAAGGGCGGTTGACTAAGTCAACCATCCTTAAAAATAGCTCAAATAAATTCATATATTTTTCAAATAAAGTCGGATGAAGACAAAATTTATATCAAAATTGAAGAACTCGATGAGATCTAAAACTTTGTAGTTGATAAAATTTTTGTTTGAGATAATTTAGGGTTACACATATATAAATTAATTTCTTAGATTTTGAATTTCAAATTTTTGAATTTTTCAAATGACCTTTGATAGAGACATGCTCTATATCAAAGTTATAGTGCTCGATGAGATCTAAAAGTTTATAGTTGAAAATGTTTTCTTTTAAGATCATTTATGAGTCAAAATATTGATTACAAGATTCAAATATATTAGTACAAATACTCATAAGAGCAAAGGCAAGTGATTGTGTGGTGCGATGGTAGGGGACAGAACACATGAATCGTGGTGGTTGCACTTTTTCAGAACTAGTGAAAATTAAATCTCGTGAGCTAGGCTTACGTTGATATTAAAAATATTTTTTCAAATTAATTTCGAGGAACGGTTTTAAAACCTCCTCTAAAAATCACATATTTTTTATAATGTGTAGCATAGTAGCGGTTTTTTTTAAACCGACGTTGAAGATTGCTTTTGATCGTTTGCAAAAATGATTGCTGTACTAGTGCAGATTATACAGATTTTTTTTAATTGGCAATGTGACGACATATCATTTGATATTTTTTAAACATTGTTTCTATGGCAATGCGCATGAAAGTCCAACAACAAAAGGTATCTTAGCCTTTCTTAATTTATTTTAGGTGTATCTGTTGATCAAGGTGTTCGCATTGAAACTTGAGTAAATTTTTTACAATTATCATGGTGAGCCTGCAAGGAAAAGAAGCTTTCCACGTGTGTGGCCATCCCTATTCTCAGGTCTAACAATAACACTCTTAAATATATGCCATGTGTGTTAAAAGATACAATCACTCCTCCAATTTGCGCTCCGCCTAAATCTGTGAATTCCATGGTACTGATCCTATCATTCTTCTCCAATTTATGTGTTGTCTAGGTTTGATTTTCTATTATTCTCTCAAGTTTTTAGTACAAGATATAGATAATTTATCTTAAACTACTCTTTACATCTCCACAGTACACACACAGTAACGTTACCTAGTAATCATATTGAAATTTTCAAATAAAAGCGAATTAGCATTCATTTAGGTGAGAATGTACCGATGAAATGCAAATTATAAATATCTTTTTTTATTCCAATACAATAACAGTGCCCTCTTATTTAAACAAGGACCGGTAGGAGAGGCATCACACACAAGTAGCACAAGACTTGTTTTTGCTCAGCTCGTCACCACTACGGAGTTCCTGCTTCAACTCATGCCCTTGCAATGGCAACCAACTGCTTCCCTACATTTTTGCCCGAGAACAACCCGATTAGAGCTGCCGGTGCGCTATCAATGCCCTCCACGACGTCCTCAACGACGGTGACCTTCCCGTCCTTGATGTAGCCAGCCATCTCCTCCTCGAACCTCGGGTACACATGCATGTAGAAAGTAAAGTAGAACCCCTCCACCCTGATGGCCTTGGGCATGATGCAGAACAGGTTGCGCAGGCCGTACGGCTCCACCAAATTGTACTGCGAGATCATCCCGCAGACGGCGACCCTGCCGCCATGGCGCATCTGCAGCAGCACGGCGTCCAGCGTCGGGCCGCCGACGTTGTCGAAGTAGATGTCGATGCCGCCGGGGAGGCACCGCTTGAGCGCGGCGCCGAGGTCGGTCTCGGACTTGTAGTTGAAGGCGTCGTCGAAGCCGAACTTGGTCTTCAGGAGGCTGACCTTCTCGTCGGAGCCGGCGCTGCCGACCACGTAGCAGCCGGCGATCTTTGCCAGCTGCCCGACTATCTGGCCGACGGCGCCTGACGCCGCCGAGACGAACACGAAGTCGCCCTTCTTCGGCTTCCCGACCTCGAAAAAACAGGCGTATGCAGTGAGCCCGGGCATGCCTGGATGGTGGTTAACATTGGATTAGCGTCATTGCGTCAATGACGAGCAAACCGGAGAGAAACATGGAAAGTATTGCAAGATAGATATATCGCTGACCAAGAACGCCCGTGTAGTAGGAGGGCGGCAGTTCGGTATGCTTGATCTTGTGAAGGGACTCCGGCTGGGTGACGAGGGTGTACTCCTCCCATGCACTCATACCCCAGACGAGGTCGCCAGCGTTGAACTCCGGGTGCGTTGAGTCCACCACTTTGCCCACAGTGAAATTGAGCAAGGCCTGATGGATCAATATCAAGCAAATTTCTTCACCTCAAGCAAATCAACAGTGGATCAGATTATGATTTTTCCTACCTCTCCAATGACAAACTCCGGCGGCAGGCCACCATCCTCGGGTTTACTCATGCGGAAACGCATCCATGGGTCGCAGGACAGGTAGAGGTTCTTGATCAGCACAGCGGTCAGCCCCGCCGGCACACGCAGCTTGGTAGTGTCCACCGTGATCTCCAAGTCGTCTTCGGTGGGGAACCCGATGACGTGCCTCCTCAGCACCACCTTCTTGTTCTGCACCACCGCCGCCGCCGTTGCCTCCTCCCCGCTGCCGGTCATTTCCTCTGTCTGCGAAAGAATAAAAGAGATGGCTCGTTTCTGTAGTAGAACGCTTTAGCTTGCTGCTGATGGTCTGGTATGCTACTGCCGATGCAGCATGCGCTCCTCCTCATACAGTTTTATAGACGGGGCGCACATCAGCCGGTGCGCCAGAGTCATTTCCCATGTGAGAAGTCATGCTCATGCATGACGACGGTCTTCTGAGCACACGTAATCCATGACGCCAGGAACAGGACCTGTTTGTTCACCCTTTTCTTTGCTTGTGCGGAAGAGGACTCTGGACTCGACTGGAAATTCAATGTACAACTGCACCCGTACCCCTGTTAACTCTAGACTTGACTAAAATTATGAATTTAGCCGAAAGTTTTTTACCAGTATAATATTATTTCAGGACTCACCGAAATAGGTGATTTTCACTGGAATTCGGTCATCTCGGACCAAATCCTTAGGCCAATTTATGTGCCGGTGCGGCAGTGTGCACCACCGCAAATCTTCCCGTCGGATCAGTCGGATGCAAGTCGTGGCGTCGACTACCTTTGCAGATTATTATTTTTGGGCCGAGAATCGAAGTGCACCAGGCACATATCACATCACATAGCGAAGCAGACTCTGCCGACGCGCAGGACGTACAGGTACGCTAGCTTATGGAGTGGCTTCCATGACGTTAGCTTTTTCTATTTTTTCTATATATTTATTTCCTTTTAGTATCTGTTTATTCTATTTATTATTTTCCCTTTTATATTTATATTTAATATTTTTTTGGTTTTCTTTTCTAGCTTTGTTTCTTTTTCTTTTTCCTTTTATATTTTTTCTATGGTCTTTAATTCTTCTCTTCATTTTATTTATTCTTTAAACTTTTGTTTATTTCTATTTACTTTACTCTAATTAATTATTTTCATTTTTTTGTTTTTCTTTTATTTCTATTTCTATTTATTCTTTTTCTTTTTTGTTTACGTTTCTTTCTTTAATTTACTCTATGAATTAGTTTTATCTTTTTATTTTTAATTTTTTAGATAAGATATATATCATGTTCGTGTAGTATATAAGTGATTTTTTATTTTTTGTCTTCTTTATCTAAGTTATTTATTTATTTTATTTTTCTATACCTCGGGTGGTTGTTTCCCTCTGTTTATTTTCTAATATTTCTTATATTTCTTTTCTTTTACTCTATTTTTTATTTTATGTTTTACTTGCTCGTTGATGGGTTACTAGATATAGGCTATATAGTTAGTCCATGGTGTGTCTGACTGTAGATGGTGGCCCACACTCACACTAGATAGTTTATTTTTATATTTAATTTTTTCTTCTATTATTTTATTCCTTGTTTGTTTTCCTATTAGACTAGCCACAGTGTTCCGATGCTCAAATATTTGAGTCAACACCGGTGCTCCATTTTCATAAAGAGCTGCAGTGGCAAGCATCGCAGAGAACTGCATGTCAGAAGCAATTAATTCACTTATCTAGTAGCATGTCTCATCTCCTCAGGTCACCTACAAGTGGGGCCATGTTTTTTCTCACAAGACAAGCATCGATGCTTGAACTTTCCCCGATGCTTGATTTTTCCGATGCTTCAATTCCACCCTGGAGTGTGTGGCATCGAGGCTCAAAGGAAAAATGAGGTTTGAAGCATCGGCAAAACAATACACTGTAGGTAGTCTTAGGTTGTTTTTACTCTTTTAATTTTTGTATTTTATTGAGAGGTGATTTTAGCGTAGTATACATGTGATGTTCTAGCATATATTTTATGATATTCACATAGTATATATGTCATGTTTATGATGTATTTTATAATGTTCACATAGTATGTGATGTTCTATGATATATTTTATGATGTTTATGTAGTATACATGTGATGTTTTATGATGTGTTATATGATGTTCATATAGTATATATGTGATGTTCTTTTTATTATTTTGTGTTTTCTTATCTTTTTTGTTGTGATGCTAATTTAGTATATATACGTGATGTATTATAATGTATTTTGTTACGATCACACTGTATTAATGAGATTTCTATGATTATCTTTTGTGTGGGATTTAACAAAATAATTTTTTTTATATAATGTATTTTTATGTCTGAAATATATATTTTTAAATTTAGAAAAAAATTTAGAGGGACTTTGAACACCATATCTGCTCAATAAAAAATGTTCTATCTTTTCTCAAAAAAAAGTTCTATCTTTCTGAGAAAAATATTATATAATACTTTGTTTTTTCTAAATATATCCATGTGGGATCTTGTTTTGAAGGATTTATAGTAAGAAATAGAATGGTACAATCGGAATTTAATTTTGAGATTCGGTTTAGGAAATACAACTTTTTAAACTTTCAAACGCTGTTGCATATTGATGATGTCAGCAAACGTACCTGCATGCATGTTGCTTTTTTCTGTTTACTACTTGCTTCCCGCACTGCTTTTTATGTATAGCCCAATATACTCCGAGTGAGGTTCGGCGCGGCGAACCCTGAAGCGGGCGCCGCCGCCTCCACCGACGCGAGGGACGCGAAGGTCCGCGGATCCGGAGAGAGGCGTGGAAAGGAGTCTTCAGGGCGGCGCACCCTCTCGAGAGGCGCGGGGACCCTCGCACGTTCTGGCATGGAGGCTGGCCCGCCGACAGCTGGTCGCAGGAGTGGTTAGCTCAGGGTAGGAGTTTATCCAAATGCGCCGTCTGAGTACGGCCCCCAATGTAATTTTCCAGGCGGCCAGGCTTGGTCTATAAATGCCCGACGCACCTATGTAAGGACACAGGATTGTTTTTCCAGACAAATTAATGGGCACCACCTTTTCCTCGCTGCTGCCGGCCATTTCCTCTACCAAAGGGATGGTTCTCCTTGAACGCTAGCTTGCTTATCGTCTGGTATCCTACTGCCGATTCAGCAATGCAGTCTCCTCGTACTGTTTTATAGATGGACATCAGCAAGGGCCGAGTCATTTCCCGTCTGAGCTATCAGGTATGACGACGGCTTTATGACTTATGAGCATGCTTTCCATGAAAATTCCATGTAGTTTTTGTCCCTCTAGGCCTTATTTAGTTCCCTTCAAAATTCCAAGTTTTTTCACTCTCTTCATCACATCAATTTTTTGCCGCTTGCATGGAGTATTAAATGTAGGTAAAAAAAACTAATTACACAGTTTAGTTGGAAAATCACGAGATGAATCTTTTGAGCCTAGTTAGTCCATGATTGGACAATATTTACCAAATAAGACGAAAGTGGTACTATTCATCAGGTTGAAAAAACTTTCAATCTAAACATGGCCCTAGCTAAGTAAGCAGAGTGCTTTTCTTTGTGTGATAAAGCAGAGTGCTTTTCTTCTTTAGTTTCAAACTTCCGCACCTTTTCTTACCCGAAAACGACACAAGTCCTAAAACATAAGTAAAAATATTTTTACCCAACGTCACCAGTTACGTAGGTCATGCCAAAATTTCTTAACTGGGCCTCTTTAATTTCTCTGAAGCAACGAGAAAAGCGACCAGAGGGGGTGAATGAAAGCTAAACAAAATTTCTTCCAAAATGGTCGTTGTCCCAAACAACCCTCCAAACACACCAAGACCAACAAGTGAGATGCCCTTTAGTCAACAGGTAACTAGATGTCCTCCAGGATAACCAGAAAATACAGCGGAACACACACCAAAGCGAAAAACCAAGAACCGGAACGAAAGGCGCACCAAAATGCAAACGAAAAGCTCTTAAGCACCACTCAACCCAAGCAAGTGCTCAAGGTGAAATCACACAAGCCAACCAGTGACTTGATGATTTCAAAACCTTCCTTGACACCTCGGAAACCTCATGGAAGAAGCGGATCAAAGAACAAACACTTGGAACTCAAAATCACCTCGGAGAGGTCCCCTGCCCAGGCAAACTTGGGCTAGTCGGGATGCTAGCTAGGTCGGCCTGGCACACTATGGCAGTTTGAGTAGCCCGAAACCAAACTCCAAAAAGGTGAAAACCATTCAAATGAAGTCTGATTGAGCTCAAATTTTGTGGAAATGTTCCTAAGGATGATGAATATTCATATTACGAGGTTGAAACTTGCCAAGTACGTTTTGACTAGAAATCATTCTCCAAAATTCATGGCGATTAAAACCTTTGAGAGCATGATCTAAGTAAATTGAGCATTTTGTACTAAAGCCTAAGTGAGAGCTGAGATTTCTCCATGTAAGATAGTATTCTTTCTCAAAAAGACAGAAAGTAATCCCACCCTCAACTTCTCGCAAAGAGCATAACAATTGAATTGTTAAGAGGCGAGAACGAAGCTCATCGACGGGAGCAACGTTCTCCCATCCAACGGCTTTCCAGATGGTGGCGAATTCGGTGTTCATACCTATCTTTTGGAGGAAATTGGGGTCATATGCTGTCACACCCAATTTTAAGGATAAAATTGAATGCATAAAGCTCATGTGTGCCCAGGGATCAGTCACACACATAAGTTGACAAATTACATAAAGTATCATCACGGTGTTTCTTACATCACGAATATTACCATAACATAGTCTTACACAACACAGCGGAAAATAAAAGAAAGCTCTCTCATGGAAGCTCCAACACAGGGACGGTCAACTGGTTGACCACAAGCCTAAAAGTCCTCAGGAAACTCCTCATACTCGTTGACATCAGTTACCCATCCGGGATTTTTATCCAAATATAGAAAGTAAATAAGCGTAAGTACTTCCCGTACTTAACAAGACAACATGGGGTTATAAAAGCTCAAAAGGATGACACTGGTTTACTGCAGTTAGCACTTTTAGTAAGTCAAGATTTTATTATCAAGTATTATCAAGTTATGCTTAAGCTCCCTTTTAAACCCACATAATCAGATATCAGAATCATTTGGATCATATTATCATCGTATAACATCATAAATGAACAACAATAATTAACCATTTATTCTGTGAGTTTTCCGAGCCTCTCGTGACTGTGAGCACGGCTGTTATAACAGTTTGTAACCCTCTATAGAGGTTGTGCACATTCACCGTGAGTCATGATTCCCATATGTCCAGG